TATTTATGTTTTGTTCTTGGTTTTTCTTTTTTTTTCTTTGTGGTTATAATAGATAGATACGGTGATTTTTATAGATTTTTATTAATAAACATATATATATATAAATAACTTTGTCTCATCTTGTATCATGTAATAATAATAATTGATTACCAATTGATTACCAGTGGTAATTCTTAATAACAAACATAGAATAAGAATAATCTTGGTTTTTGATTAAATTTATTAAAACATTGTAATCTAATACTTTGTTATATGAATATTTGTATAATTGAATTTTTTTCGAAATCCAAACAAAACCTATTTAATATATACAAAACATTAATCATCAATCAATAATGAACACTTTTTCTTACACTAGTTATAAAACCATTGTAAATGCTAAATCTTGGGTTTTTAAAAGTGACCGCCAATTGCTTCAACTCTTAGAAACTTCACCATCATTACCTTCATCATTATCTCTTTTGTTTTCTCTTTTGTTCTCTTTGTTTCTTTAAAGCCATCGCGTGAGAAGCAGTTTCCCCATTGGGTAATCACACTCAAATCGGGTAATGTCTTGACTTCAAATCACAAGAATTACTTTTTAAAGAAGTCTGTGTTTCAAATGCATCCGTTTTAGGAAACATTTTTATGTTTTTTTTTAATTTTTTAAATTTTTTTAATTTTTTAAATTTTTTTGTTGTTGTTCTTGTCTCAAGAGAAATGAGGAAAAAGTAAAGTAAAAAAAAAACATTAAAAAAAAATTTTGAAAAGAAATCCATCACAATAATAATATTGTAACTTTATATATATATATATAATATTATTCTTTAATTTAGTAAAGAAAGAATTTTTATATATTCATAGTATTTATATAGGAACAATATGGCCGAAGAATCAAAGACCCCGGAAGTTAAGTCTACTCCAGCTCCACCAACAGCCAGTGTTTTTTCAATGTTTGGAGGTTCTAAGAAAAAACCAGAATTGGAGAAATCTGATGATAAAGAAAAAAATGATGATAAGGAAGAAAATGATGAAGATTCTAAGAAAAATGATGAGGATGCTCCAGAGTCACCAGAGATTCATTTTGAGCCATTGGTAAAGCTTGAGAAAGTTGAAGTCAAGACCAATGAAGAAAATGAAGAAGTATTATTAAAAGTTAGAGCTAAATTATTTAAATTTGCTGCAGAATCAAAAGAATGGAAAGAAAGAGGTACTGGTGATGTCAAGTTTTTGAAACATAAACAGACGAACAAGGTTAGATTGTTGATGAGAAGGGATAAGACTTTAAAGACTTGTGCTAATCATTTTATTTCACCGGAATATGAATTAAAACCAAATGTTGGAAGTGATAGATCATGGGTTTATACTGTTACTGCAGATGTTTCAGAAGGTGAACCAGAAGCTCAAACATTGGCTATCAGATTTGGTAATAAGGAAAATGCTGATAAGTTTAAAGAAGAATTCGAAAAGGCTAAAGAAGCTAATAAAGAAGCTAAATAAGTATTTAAATAGTAATAATAAGAATTAAGAATAATTTTATAAAAAAAAAATTTCAATCTATATATGTTATCCTATTCTATTATTGTAATGAATTTTGTAGTTTTTTTTAAATTTATTTACATATATTATTGTTCAATGACTATAAATAAAAATCCATCTATAAAGTTATTTTTTTTTTACAAAGTCTTCTCCTATCATAATTAAAACTAAATTTTAATAAAATCAAATATAATTGGAAAGGTGTGAAATCAGGCCATAACGTATCAATCATCTCAACCATCACACCTGAATCACTAGCTTCCCATAACATAAAGTCACTGAACCGATGTGTACCACTAGTTCTAATTAATAATTCTAATGGTGGTACACCTGCTGTATATAAATTTTCAGTTATAGTATCTGCAGTTATATCTTCAGTAGATAACTTATCCGATTTAACTTGTTTCACCACTGATTTAATTGCATGTGTCATATCATCTCTAGAAGTATATGGAATACAAACATTTAAAATTGCTCTCTTATTACCCTTTGTTATTCTTTCAGCTTCTATTAAAATCTCTTGAACATCTTTTGGTAAAAGTTTTATATTTCCTACTATATTTAATCTAATACCATATTTTTCACATAATTCCCCATGTTCAACTATTTGAAGTAACCTGGATTTGGCCAACTCCATTAACCATTCCACCTCTATTGGAGATCTTTTAAAATTTTCTATACTAAATGCAAATACAGTTGCAGATTTAACACCACATTCATAACATAATTCTAAAGTATGAGCCATACTTTCATACCCAGCATTATGACCTTCTTTAAGTTCAATTTTATTTCTCCTAGCAAAACGTCTATTACCATCCATAACAAACCCTATATGTTGAGGCACCGGACCCGTCTTTATTATATTAGCAAAAAATTTCTTGGTCAAAGAAAGCAGTTGAGTATACCCAGGAAATGTCGATATCCATGATTCCGTCATGATTATTAAAAGTTACCAAAATTACCAAATCTTTCTCAAATCAAAAAAATAACCCACTCACACCACACAAAAACTCAAATTCAACTCAAATAACTCTAGATCCAAAATCTCTTTTTCAACAGCAATACAAAAAAAAAATTATGATCAATCTATTCACTTATGATTTGTTCTTCTATTTTACTTCTCTTTTTTCGCCCTGAAAAAAAAAAATGCACCAAAAAAAAAAAAAACCAAAAAATCAGTAAAAAAAAGCAAAACTTTTTTTATTAAAAATTGATTAACAGTTGCTCTAATCTATATCACTTTATAAATTATATAGAATTTTTCAATCTTTGTTAATATTATCAATTGTTGGTTCTATTGGTATTGTTTGTTGTTTATAGAAGGCTTTGGAGAGAGAGAAAAAAAGTCAAGTGAAGTCAAGATTAAAGAGAAAAAAATACAAAAAGTTGGGAACCAAAAAAAAAAGGGAAAATTGGGAGAGCATTTTAAATACCATTGAGCTTTATTTGCATTTGTTTGTCATTTAAATATTGATATATATATATATATATGAATCTATAAAAATTCATTTTGAAAGTTTTCCAATCGTTTACTTTTTTACAATGTTGAGATTTTTACACAGAGGGTTTCTGTCTAGAAACTCTAGAAACTTCAAATTGATAATTGCTCCAATTGCTAGATACTCTCGAAATGGATCTTCATGGGCAACTGCGATTGAGACTGCAGAAAAGTTGGTGCAACCTTCTAAGAAATCATCTTTTACTGATCCTTTTTCTATTGTTAGTAATGAAATGTCTTCATTGCTGAAAAATATTGCTGGTTTAATCAGTTCAGGTCATCCTACTTTAAATAGAGTATCATCTTATTATTTTGAGGCTGAAGGTAAAAATGTTAGACCATTAATTGTTTTACTATTATCAAAAGCACTTTCAAAGATTCCAATTGAACAAAGAAATAGAGTTCCAATTGATGAACTGGATGTTACGACTCAACCAAATTTCCCTGGTCTTCCGAGCAAACCGACAATTGCAGGTAGAAGTGTCATAGATTCGATTTCACCATTAGCCATTTTACATGGTATCAATCCTAGTATTGTGTTAGACCCATTAACTAAACCATTGGGTAAATTGCCAGAATTGGATAAACAAAATGGGATATTACCAAAACAGAGAAGATTAGGTGAAATTGTAGAAATGATCCATACAGCATCTTTATTACATGATGACGTTATAGATTTTTCAGATTCTAGAAGAGGAAGACCAAGTGGTAATATCGCTTTTACAAATAAGATGGCTATTTTAGCAGGTGATTTTTTATTAGGTAGAGCTTCAGTTGCCATTGCAAGGTTAAGAAATCCTGAAGTTATTGAATTAATGTCTATGACAATAGCAAATTTGGTTGAAGGAGAATTCATGCAATTGAAAAATACAGTTTTCCAGCCAAATACCAATGTTGTAGAAGGTGATAAACAAATACCACAAGCAACTGGGAAAGTGCCCGTTCAACTTCATGAATATTCTGTTGTCCCAACAAGAAACCCAGCCAATATAACTCATGAGGAAAATGTAAATGCTGCATTTGAATATTATATACACAAAACTTATTTAAAAACTGCATCGTTGATGTCCAAATCGGCAAGGTCAGCAGCAATCCTTTCAGGTGCACAATTAGATGTTGTGGAAAACTGCTATCAATTTGGAAGAAATTTGGGATTATGTTTCCAAATGGTTGACGATATGTTAGATTATACTAGAAGTGATGAAGAATTGGGTAAACCTTCAGGAGCAGATCTAAAATTAGGATTAGCTACTGCTCCAGTCTTGTATGCTTGGAAAGAAAGACCAGAGCTAGGACCGATGATTGGTAGAAAGTTTAGCGAACCAGGTGATGTTGAAACTGCAAGACTGGCTGTTAAAGCTTGTAATGGAGTTCAACAAACTAGACTGATGGCCCAAGATTATTGTAATCGTGCTTTACAAAATTTGAGTATTTTACCAAATAGTGATGCACGTTCAGCATTAGAATTTTTGACTAACTCAATTTTAACAAGGACAAAATAATGAAAATGAAATATATCTTTTTTTTTAATCTTGAAAATGTTTACATTAATGTTTGTGATTTTCATTTTGATATTCATGTTTTAATTTTTTTTTCTTTTTGTTTGTTTGTTTGTTTGTGTTTTGACGTTATTATGATTCACGTTACCAAAATTTTTGAAAAGCAGAAAACTTATAGAAAAAAAAAAACTTTCTTTCTGTATTTCTTCCCGTTTTTTGCTTATCTAGACTTATTTTTCTTAAATCAGTTCAATCAACTTTATTTTTTTTTTCTTGAAAAAACTTTTTTTTTGTAAATAGAACTTTTTTAGATTGAGAAAACTGAAATAGAAAAAAAAAATCATTTTCAAATCAAACTTGTTTTCAAAACTACAGAAAAACCACAAGGTTAGTTTTGAACCAATATAAATGTGATGTCTAGTAAGCGAATTGTATTATTATCATCGATGATATAAAAATTATAAAAATTAATAAAAAATTAAATTTTCCGATGCCGGGAGTCGAACCCGGGTTTGCCCGGTGAAAGCGGACCGTGCTAGCCGTTACACTACATCGGATTGTAGATGAAAAGGTCGGGATTTATTCATCTAGTGGTGGTGCTTCACTTCGAGGCAGTCGGAAAGTCCCCGACTGAATTGAGAAAAGGTCGGTTTGACCGCCATCTTCGTCATCACTTCTTTATCATCTACATTTGATCTTGGAATCAAAAATTATATTTTAACTTCTAAAAAAATACTGTCTAATGGCTCTAGCAGTCTATAGTAAAATATGACAAGTTTTTGAAGAGAAAAAAAAAAGTATTTTTTAAATAAAAAAAAAAATAAAAGTGATCGCAAAATAAAAATTTAGAATCTAACTTGGTTTCCTATGTCAATCAGGAATAAAGTGAAAAATAAAAGTTTCGTTGAAGAAAAAATAAATGAAAATATAGAAAGAAAGAAAAAAAAGTAAGTAATTGGAGTATAATCTCCACTCTTCTTAGAGTCGTTACTTCTTATGAGTTGAAAGCAACAAATATTAGCTAGTACAGTTCAGATACCTCTCATATGTAAAACTAGTAACATAACACCAGTTATCTTTACAGTCAGTTGTTGAAGAACAGTCTGGTGTATAAGGTGAAAATCTGTACTCATAATTGGTATACATTTGATTATAGTAAGTACTGTTTTTCATCTTTTCTGCAACCAAATGCCAATAGCTTGCATTTAATGGAGAAGTTGAAGGCCAATCAATGTCAAATGCATCTCTTGCTGAGTATTCAAATTCCCAAGTTGGCTCATTCCCACTATTGTCAAATGTCTCATTCAATTTGAAGTAAAAATTCTGTGAATCCATAATAGAAAAAGTCTTGCTATCAACTTCATAATATCTCCAACTTGGATTTTTTTGAACTTGTGGAGTAACAGCTTGGGTAATCCATGCATGATTAACAACGTTTTCCAGAGTTTTTTCTGTACCATTACCTGCGTACAAGATACTAAATTGATCTTCATGTGTGTGACCATAGAAAATACCAGCAATTGTATAAGGGGAAAATCTTTTAATGACATCTGAAAATAATTTAGCTGGGATTGGTAAAATATCACTAACAATTGGTGGAATATGAGCAATAATCCAAACTCTTTGATCTATCAGTTCACTAGCGACTAATTCATCAACTAAAAATTCAAATTGACCAAAAGTATCAGGTTCAGTTGAGTTCCAGAAAGTATAAAGATTAGCATCGTACCAACTGTTAGAGTTTAAAGAAATGATTTTTAACCCTTGTTGTGTAGTAATTGCATAACCAGTGTAATGAGACCTGACTTGTTGAGCAGCACTCAGATCTAACCAACCAAAATCTGACCACATTTCAGCCATTAAATCATAATTCCAATTATACAAGTTTGAATGACCAGAACTATTTTGTGCTAATTGTCCATAAGGATAACTGTCATGATTTCCTAAAACCGGGAAAACTGATATATTTTGTAATCTATATTTTAAATCTCTGTAAATATATTCTTCAGATAAAACTGTAGATTCAAAGCTAATATATTGGTCTTCGTCATGGTCAACTAAATCACCTGTAAAAATTGCAAACTGGAAATTTAAATTTTTCAATTTTTGGTAGTCTGTAATTGATTTCAATGAGTTATTAATCAACACTTCAGGAGCATCACATTCATATTCACCAAAAGTATGTGCTGGTTGATAAATAGAAGAATTATAATAGTATTCAAAATCTCCTTTAACAAATTCTCCATTGACATAAGAACTGTTATAGAAAGATTGAGTTGAAGTATTATAATAAGTCTCATTATAACCAGATGGGAAAGGTTTTTCTCTGTAACAGTGTGGAGTGCAGCAGATACCACCTGAAGAACAGTTACCTTCTCCACCAATGGTATAATCCAATTCTATATGGAAATCACTAACGTGTAAGACGTTAAAAGTTTCTGAACCAGGAGTTGGTGCAATATAATGTTTAGGTTGTTTTTGAGGCCACATATATGAAATATCAACTTCTGGTGTCAGTGGTAAAGAACAAACATCTTCCTGGTAGTAACAGTAATATTGGCCATCATAACTAGAAGGATCCATTAATTGTAAGACATTGGTGAAATCGGTACCATATCCTGTTCTTTGAACAGTATTTCTTGAATATGTAACTTCACAATCAATGGCAGTGTCAACACCAGTAACTGTGCACCATTTAGTCCAAATAATTGGTACTAAATCTGGTCTAGATAGTGAAATATTCTTACCTAACGATAATCTCTCAGTACATTTTTGACAATCACTAAGTGAAGTGTCATTACCAATAGCTTCTAATTTGGTTAAAGTGCTGTTAATGATTGCACTGTCATTCCCGCTTGAGTTAGTGGAGTTAATATTCCAAAGTGAAAAGACATAAGTCTCTGGAGGGAAGGGCAGATCACTCCCATCTACTGCAGCGGATGATACTTTCAGAATAACAAAAGCGCATAAACTGAGCGCCCGCAAAAACCAATAACTTTTCATGATAACGAGAGAACTTTCCAAGTTTCAAAGTTACCAAGTTTTCAACCTATCTGTGTTATTTTATGCAGAGAAGCACAGAGTTCAACTAACTATTTGTGATGCCAGAAAAAAAGAAAGAAAAATCCAAAGGAACAGAATAAAAAAAGTACTTTCTTGCGTCTTTATATATATATATCTACAATACAATGCAACCCAACTCAATTACATCGAATTACAAAATCGTATATACTTTCCATTATCAAAACTTCCACTTTTCCCCCTAAAGCACTTATTCAATAGTCAGGCATCAACATCAATGTTGATCCGAGTATTATTATCTCACTGAAATACTTGAAATTGTGAAACTTCGTGTGGCTCGTATGTATCTACCGTTTTCCTAAAGAGGAAATATCTATGCTCGTTGACCTGCTTTATGCAGGAGAACCAACTACAGGTAATAAAAACGTGCAATGGGAAGTCTGATTGATCCAAATGGTTCACGGGGAACTGCAGGTGGGATGGGGCTTACTTAAGCATCAATATTTTTCTAACAATAGTAGTTGATCATTATGATCGGTCCGAGGAAGCTTTAGTTGAGTTCAAGTTTGTTTTTAAGACTAAGAAACTCTGCGTGAAAAAAATGAAAAAAAAAATCAGAAAAAAAAGTTGATTAAACCTATTCATGAGATACTGCTATATCATTTGTTGAACTTTTAGAAACTAATTGCATCTTCTTTAAGTTTTGATTCTGTAAAAAAGCTTAATGGTAACAATTTATCATGTAACTGTATTATATTATATTATTATAAATTATATTATTTTTCATTAATTATACCCCATGGGTTTGATTGATCTAAATAATCTAAATATGAGTGGGCAAGAAGAGTTTTAATAAGCTCAGACTGAAAAAATCTCAGATCATACATTAAGAGAAAAAAAAAAGTGCATTTTGATTGTAAATAACTTAGAAGATCGACGCTTTTATTAAGACCTAGATACTTATTAGATACATAGTATACATATGTATATATTGCGGAAATAAATAATCCTATCCTATGGCACTTAATTACAACGGTTGATAGGCTAAAGCCGAAACTGCTTAAAAAAATTGTTTTTTTTTTTTTTGGTTTTTTCAATTTTATTGAAATTACAATAAAATGAAATAGACTCGTGATTGAGACTAAATGTCATTATTGCAATCGTAAATGAAAATGAGGAGTGTAGTTTATTTAATTTTTAAATTAGTTCTCTCTAGTCAATTTAATTTTTCGTGGTAAACTCTTAGTCTAGACATAAAAGTGTCAGTATCCAAATAGCAGCCTTTAAGCCATCTTTCTTGTTGGTCTTTTGATTCTCCATACTCAAATGCATTTCTTGAGTGTAGGACTCTTCGATTATCAAATATAACACACGAGTTTTCCTGCATCTTTAATTGGTATTGATTGGTTGGATCGTTTATGAAATTTTCAAATAATTTTATGCCTCTAATGTAATCTTTTAATAAATCACCTTTGCCTTCAACTACGCTTCCTGATTCAAAAGGGGCTTGAAACGGAGGTGAATAGTTTACTTCTTTTATAATTTGAGACCCAGTGGAATAATCAACAGTGTCATGCTCAACGATTAATGGTCTTTCATAATAATAAAATTCTCCATCGTTATGATACTGATATGCAATAGGAATTGTAGTTAATGCTAAGAATGCTTGAGGGTCTTTTTCTTTAATGTATGTTGCAGCATGGAAAGAGTCCAGAAATATGTTTTCTCCCCCAAATGTCTTATTCTTGATTGAGTGCAATAATTGTAAACCAGGAGGTGCCTCGTAATATAATAAATCCATGTGTAAAGGTAAAAAATTATTGGTATAAGCAATATTTTTAGCATCTGGAATTGACTTGACATCAAATAATTTCCCATAAAAAGTTTCTCTTATATACCCAATTCTATTGGCAATTTTTTCAATAAACCATTCATTAGAAGAACCACTATTAAATAATTGTTGAGGTATATTATTTATAAAACATAACCCATACTTATTTATTGATTTTAAAGCACAAAAAAAATCATTTTCATTATCCATATAATCTTTGTAATTAAAATTAATTTCTTGAGAAGCTTTAGAAATCAGTTGATGATCCCAAAATAATTTATCCTGATAGAAAACTTTCCCTCTTCTTCTTTTCTCAAATACAGAATATTTTTTCAAAAAATCTGCCGAATATAAAGATTCTTTTCCAATTAACCCAACTTCATCCCACTGAATTTTTAAGAAAAAATCTCCATTCTCTGATTGAACAATCAATGGTTCTTTGGCAGGTTTTATATCTGTAGGTATCTTACCCGTAGTGAATAATTTTTGACCTGAACTTGGATCAATAGATATATTGTGTAAACTGCAAGAATCTCTAAGAAAGAAATTGCTAAAATTTGTAACATTACTACCATCACTATCTTGAAACTCAATGGAAATATAAGATGAATTGTAATCTTTAATTTTAATCGGAGAGGAAACAAGATTGGAATATTTAGAAAAACTACCATCAAGCCGAGGTAAACTAAACCTTGACCATATCAC